GGGGAACGCCTCGGGCTGCTCTGAGCTTTGCGCGGCGCGTTTGATCGCGGCCCATGTCGCGGCGTGCTGGCTATCGTCGGGCGCGGATAGCGAGCGGAGGGCCTCGGCGATGATGCGCAGCGCGTGCGAGCGCGGCTTGGACGCGCCCGTGTATTCGGTTTCGAGGTGCACGTAGAGCGCGTCGTAGCTGCGCGTGGAGAAGCGCGGGCGGTGGAGGAGGCCGTCGTCGGTAGGCGTGGTACCTTGGTTGTATGGGTAGTGCTCGACGAGCTCCGTGAGGCGTCTGGGCATCTTCTGCTCGAGGGCTTCGTCCCTGTATGCGCGGAAAATTGGTCAGTGCGAAGTATCTCCTTAAAGAAAAAACACGCACCGTATGCGAGACAGGAATAGATGTTCCAATATCCGACCAGCGCGCTCCCACCGGTCGTAAAACGCACTCCAGTCGTCGTCGTCCGTCGATCTGCGCGCAGACAGCAGCCACAGACCCAAGAATTTCGACAATTTGCTACCGGAGAAGCCATTGGCCTCGCCGTGGGCCGCGAGGGAGGAGATGATCTCGAGCAGCGCGAACAGGAGCTCGCCGTTCGCGGGCGGCAGTTGGGGAACGAGCGTCTGGGAGAACGCGTTGGGAGGGTATCCCTTGTCGCGCTCCGCGTCTGCAAAGGTGGTGTACCACGCCCACTCCGAGGATGTGTCCTTGCCAAAGGACGAGCCTTCCAATCGTAGGTGGCGCAGACCCCAGCGCAGGACGGCTGCGACGTCGTGCGGGGAGCGCGTGTACGTGAGCTCAGAATGGAAGGCGGAAACAGGCGCTGAAGAGCTGGGAGCGAGCGTGGTTATGGGGCTTTTGGGGCCCAAAGAGTGGATGTAGAGGGAGATGAGGCGGCGTTGGACCTCTGGCGACGCGGAGTGCCAGTGGGCGTGCATGATGCCGAGTGTTTCAAGGCCTAGCGTGAAGGTGGTGGTGAATCAGTGACTAGAAGAAAAGAAAGGTCGTGGGGGGACGCACCGCGCTCGACGATGACCTGCGAACATGCGCGCACGAGCACGAGCGTCTCGAGCGCTGTCAACCGCCTCTCTCCGATGACAGCTTCATCGAGCACGGTAAGTGCATCGGGGTCGGCCTCGAATACGACACCAAGCGCGCGACTCCGTTCTTCCTTCGGGACAGGCAGGTTGAGGGAGAGATGGGGGACATCGGTCGAACGTTTCGGCGAAGTAGGAGTGGGCGGGGGCGATGCAGCGCGAGACTTGGGGCGGAAGAGGGCAAAGCTCGAGTCTTTGTCCCTGGATAGCACGCGAGGTAGTTGTTGGTGGTCAGGGAGATGCGTCGCCGAGGGGGATGTGACGGGCTGAACGGCCTCGAACTTGCCCTCGAGAAGAGAACCGGTTACAGAGGCACGTTTCGACTTGTGTGCGTCCTTGTCTTCTGGCTTCTTACGTCCAAAGACTCTCGAGAGGATGGCGTGCATAACGTGGCTGGTGGACCGCTGGCGTCATGAGCAACGAGGTCGGCGTCAATGTTAATATCGGGCTCGGAAGGCGGACGAGGCCGCACTAGAGAGAAAATAGCTCACCGACGAGGCTGGTGACTGTGAGGAAGGAGAGTTAACGGTCTGAGTCTCGCGCCCTTGGAGCAGGGCGGTGGTCTACTCCAAATCTCTGCCCACACACTTTGTTCGTTCTCTGCCGCGCCAAATAAACCCAAACGACGCGTCGCCGTCCTTTCTCCTCCCTCCCATAGAACTCACATCAGGCTGTACTCTCTGCCTTTCGTGCTCTACCATGCCAACTGTCGTCCGAGTGTCCTTTCTGTTCTGAACACGCTCCTCCTCGATCGCGACTCGACCCATCCGACGCGATCGGTTTAGCGTGTTTAGGTAAAATGGCAGGCCACGACAAAGACGCATTCCCAGAAATGAAGCCAAGTACGTTCGCTTCTTACTTCTCTCGCATCTAGTGAAACGTAGCCCGGGGAGGCCGACAGGAGTGGCAGTAATTTGTGCTGGTAGCTCACCTCGAGTGTCCTCTGCCGTCCGCCACATCAAGATGCTTGATAATTTTAGACAGCCCTCGACCCTCTCGTTAGGTTTCTGGAGATGCAAAAACATCATCGTGTTATATGGTGTGAGTGCCCTGTGAGAACCATCCGAACAACTAACTACAGAATGCCTACGATATATTCGCAGTCGCGAAGAGGTCGTTCCTATCAAGACGTGCATCTCATGCGGATTTGGTCACCTTGGACGGATATCGATGGCGTAATTGAGGCAAACATGTCCTTAGGTGTGGAACTATCAAGAACGTACTGTGTAACGTCTCTTGGAGGTAACAACTTGGTCCTCAATTTCCTCTACAACTGACTGACGAGATGCTCAGCTTTAGGTAGACGCAAGATGAGACAAGGTCTCATTTCCGCCCATCACATATGAACTCTTATTGTTCTATCGAACTACGCGGAGCAGACCTAGGTTCAACCTGGGCAGGACGAGATCACGACAGCCAGGCTGCACGACTCGGGCGAACAGTCGACGAACCAGATGAAATCAGTCTCGGCTAGACTTTTGGCCCACCAGCCCAATTATCCCTTCGTTCTCAACACTGCAGACACGTCCACCAGTTCGCGTACCCACTGCCCAGCAACATGCCCAATATCTTCCCCCCCAGCCCAGCGCATAACCCTAACCCTAAAATCCAACGTCCAAACCAGCTCCGCGGAGGGCAAGACGGCTCCCGCCGCCTTACCCCCCGCCTTTGCCCGCCTCCGCCGAGCGACTCAAGTCCCTGGTGCGCTACAGGGACTCGAGCCACCCATATATGGCGGAGGCGGCACGACGCGGGGACACCTCGCTGCGCGACAAGGTGCCGATCCGCGCCGTGTGGGGGTGCATTGCTGCACCCTCTCCCCCAAATATATTTCTAAGTACATGGCTAACTTATGGTATATAATACGGAACAGAAACCAAGAAATCCGAGAAACGATATCCGTCAAGGTGACAACCACTGGCACAATGGCCACCATCTCAAACCACGCCTACAGAGAAAGGGCAAACCCAGGCGAGTGAATAACGGAGTGATCGTTATGAGAAGGGGTGCTCACCGAGTTCTATAGGACGATGTCCCAAGAGTGCAGCAATGCGAACGCCGACATCGCAGCGATGGTGGCCACACACCACCACGACGACAACGCGCAAAGCCCACTGAGGCCGGCCCCCGGGGGACTTGAAGACCTGAAACCTGTCTCAAAATAAAAACTGCCCGCTTCAATCAACTGGAAACGATAAAGCAGAAGAGGAGGGAAAGGGAAGAAAGAAAAACGGTGACCGCCCGTCAGGCCAATTCAGAACCGTCAGCATCCCCGAAGAGCTAGCAGAGTCCCAGTCGCGATCAGAGACTCCACGGGCCCCCCCAGGTCCGCCTACAGGTCCCAGGCCCACTCGTCGTCGTCTTCGGCGTTGATCCGCATCTCGGCCACAAATCGCGCGATGATTTCGAGTTCCGCAGCCATGTCGAATTCCGAGTCGAAATCCCCGGTGAACCCTTCGTCGGCCGTCTTGAACTCTTCGTCGGACTCCGTCGTCGGGAACGCCGGCATCATTGGAGCTGCCGTGAACTTGACGCTAATAGGGGGCAGAGCCGGCAACGGCGCTGTGGGCGCGCAGTACAGCGTCCGGGTGACTGGCATCGAGTTGCTCCCAAGGACCGGGCTAAGATCGTCAGTCACCAACGCCGGCACAGGGCGCACCGTCTCCTCCGAATCGGAGTCCTCGTCTTCGGACTCCTCAAAGGCGGCGGTTGCGCTAGCCGCCTCATCCACGGCCATCTCCGCGCGCAGCATATCCAGCAGAACGAGCGGATCCGGCTCGTCGCCCATCTGCTCGAGGAGGTCCTCGACATCGCTGGTATTGGGTCCTCGTTCTTCTTCCTGTTCTTCTTCCGCAGGAAAGTCGGAGGACGGGACGTCGCGGTGCTGCACGTCTTGCTGCACCTCTTTGCGTAGGAGACCCAGAGGCACGTCTGCCTCTGCGCCCCCCACTAGCGGCACGCCACGCGCGTCCACCCCAGCGCCGGCACGCTCGTCGCCCCGACCGTGCGCTCCCGCTGGCGGCGGTACCCCCGGGCGCACGTCTGCGCCCAGACCCCGCTGCCAGCGGTAGCGCACGAGCGGGACGACGCGCGGGCCGGCGCTGGACTGCACGCGCGTGACGCGCCGCTGGCGCGTGATGCACTTCTTGCTGGCGGCCGGAACGCCCGGCTCGTATGCGGACGTCACGAAGACGAGCTCGGTGGGCGCCGTGTTGGCGAGGGAGGCTGCGCGCGACGGGGGCGGGGCTGCTGGGAGCGCGGCCGCGCGCTTGGGCAGTCCGCGCACTCGGTCTATAGGTGGGATCAACGGCAGATCTCGCAATGGGGGGAATAGGCGACGCACCGATCCAGCTTGTGGCTTTGAAGATTGCCTTGCCTGCGATGGAGCTACCGGCAGGCTTGACCTCCCGAAGCCGCTTGGACAACTGGTGCTCGAAGACCGGATGGTCGGCGGTGCGAGCCACAGGTGCCTGCGGGTCAATGGAAGGGGTTATAGCAATGGAAGACATTACTTGTAAGACACTGGAATGCTTGGAGTAGAACTCGAGGCGGAGGATGTTGGGGGTGCGGAAGATAGCAAGTATCTGGGGTTCTTCGAGTACGGGGAAGATATCCGTGTAAGTATCCCAATCTTGTCTGGGGCGGTGGTGTTGCCTGGTAGACCAGCCTAGAGGTGAAACTTGGGCGTCTCTGTTCGCTAGGTGGACCGATGGACTGCAAATGGGCGCAGCGGTTCTGAAACAATTCACGGATAATCCACGCGTCGTTTCACTGCAATTCGACGAACTACATAAAAAAAGAAATTTGGATCGCTATAGTCTAAGTCAAGTAGACTTGTGTCGTGAACCTCGCCGCCACGAATTAGCCCAATTACGTCATGCTCATGTATTTAAATTAAGAAGAATATTCCTGTCGCCGGGATAGCTCAGCTGGGAGAGCAACAGACTGAAGTTGACTGGTTTCTGGAGGTCCCGTGTTCAATCCACGGTCCTGGCATTGAATCACTTTTTGTCCAATCCTTCACTATCGCCTCGATATCTGCTCAATACGGCCATACTGGGCAGCTTGAACAACTTGCTCAAGTTCGACTTGTTGTTCACCAGGCTGAAGCAGGCCCGGGTGGCTAGCGGCCCGTGACAACTATAGGTCACGGCTAGTGGACTTTCGCCGAGTTGTTGCTCTGGCCCGCTCATCCTTTGACTTTGAGTTCAAAACCTCCACACCCTCGTGCATTCTAGATCTTGCGCAACCGTGTCGCCTATGGGAATGCGGAAATATCAGCTTTTCTAATCCATGGCTGCAGCTCGCTTTTGAACATCAGAAAGAGCGCAAAGCATACGACCTTCGCCAGGAGCATTGAATCACAATAATCTATCCGACGACAATGCTGATAATTTGTACCGGGCTCTGGACAACCAGAGAAGAGATGGAGGACGCTGAAACAGGTCTGAGAGTCCTGATGCTACAGCAATGGCGTGTCTGACGGCCTTGTCCTTCCGCAGTGTTCAAGATACTCATCGTTCGCCCACGAACCTCCTTCGACAAGAATACGAGCGGCGCAGAGGCTCAAGATGACAGATTGGTTGCACAGGAGCTGTGCAGAATCAAATCTTCCGACCACGATATCAGTCTCATGACAAGCATTCAGGCAAAGGTGAGCCTATCTCCTTTGCGCTCTCCTGACATAGCAGCATGTTCGTGGCCCAGCTGCTCGCCAATCGCTGCCGAATGATGCCGAATGATGGATTCCTGTGCAATCCGTGAGACTGAGACACGCAGCGCTCTCCTGCAACAAAGAGGAGAGCAGTGTCATGAAGTCGAGATCGCCGCGTTCGTATTGAGTGTGCCTTGCACACATGTCTGGACACTCACGGGAACCGCAGTGTGAGTTCTTGTGGGCGTTAGACAGGTCTTCTCGTGCTATTAACAAAGTAGCTGATGCCCACGTGTAGTGAAGCCTGATCTGCATGCTGCATCCTACGAATCTCAGCGTCGATGAATGAAACAACTTTGTGTAGTCTGCGCGTTCAGGTCAGTCGCTATAATCGCAGCTGTTCAATATACGAGCTAATAAACGACGTCGCGATGCCAAAGCTCCCTGCAATTACCAGTCGTATCAATGTAAGCTAGTTATGATTGCCGCATCTAACTCTTTGAAAGCCTGGCGCTAACACAGCCCCGCGTCCCTTTGCACACAGTAATGATTCAAGTTGTTGATCAAGGAGCTTCGTTGATGATCATTTCACTAACCATGGGCCTTCAACTGGCTCCGAGCCCTCTGCAAGAGCGCTGAAGACGGTCCTAGATCACGGTCATAGGCTCTATGTGAACTATTCCAGTTGCTACTCATTGATAACGACGACATGAGGAGACACAGCACATCCAGAAACAATGTATTCGAATCTGTCTTAAACGTCCACCGCAAGCTGCACCAACCTCAACATTGTTCAGCCCCCTCTACGCCTTCTTCTCTATTACGACCCCCCTTCTACGAAAAAAAAACCACCAACCTATCTTATTACTAGTGATCTCCTAGTTCGTCATGAAGCCTGAAAGCACCACCAGCGTCGATATCTCCGTAACCGCATCGAGTCCGTCCCTCGGTGGAAGTGACTCGAGGAGCGGCGCTGCCCGAGGCTGGAGATTCTGGTTGATCATCGTGTCTCTCATGATGTCGACCTTTATATTCGCCCTCGACGCAGTAGGTTCACCGATTATTCGTGTCTTGTACAATTGAATAACATCGCCCTAGGTCGCGGTCGGGAACGCGTTGCCCAGCATCGTACATGATTTGACTGGCACTCAGTTCGTCTGGATCGGGTCGGCGTATTCTCTTGCTGCCTGCGCATTCCTGCCGATGACTGGCGCTCTTTCCCAGGTACGTGATCACCTGGCGATGTCCAAGTACCCGAGCAGACGCTGACTCCATACGACATCTTCAGGCTGTGGGGCGTAGAGTAGTTATGCTTTGCGCATTGGCATTTTTCGCCGTCGGCAGCGCTCTTTGTGGTGCGGCACCCAGTATGAACGTCTTGATTGTCGGACGCAGTAAGTTTCGGCGACTAGCATACTCTGATGCATTATTTATCGCGTATATTCCGGTAGCGATTCAAGGAGTTGGCGGTGGCGGCATTGCTGCCCTGAGCCAGATCATCCTATCTGATCTGGTGCCGCTACGTGAGAGGGGAGCTTTCAGCGGCTTCCTTGCGATGTAAGCTTACCAAATAACCTAGCATCTGTTCGGAATAGCTAACCTCGCCGCAGAGCTTATACTATCGCTAGCTGCATCGGTCCTGTCGTCGGTGGAGCTTTCGCTCAAGTCGGTCAGTGGCGATGGCTCTTTTGTAAGTCGAATATCGGTAGTTTCCATCGCTTTACCTCAATTGAAAACCCGCCAGACTTTAATATTCCCCTCTGCTGCCTTAACGGCGCGTTAATATTGATCTGTCTGAAGATGAAGACGCCACCGGGGTCAATGGAAAAGCTCAAGAGCATCGACTGGATGTAAGTTAATCCGCTGAAGCATCATACAATCACTCAAATTTATATTCACATCGCAGAGGAAACGCTCTGATCATATCATCAACTACCTCTGTAGTCGTAGGGCTGACTTGGGGAGGAGTGCAGTTCTCCTGGACCTCCGCTAAAGTACTTGCGCCTCTAATCTTAGGCCTCGTGGGCCTCTGCGCATTCGCCGTATACGAGGCAATGCTAGCTAATAATCCCATGGTGGGTCGATTGAACCTCACGTTTTCTCCGACTGATCATTTTGTCGACGATACGTAGGTACCAATCATCTTAATGTCGAATTGTACCAGTCTAAGCGGGTTCATTCAATCGTTCCTCAATCAATTTACTTCATCCGCTATAATCTGTGAGTCCAACAACGCTACGTTATACTTTGACATATCTAACGCCAAAACTACAGATTACTTGGTCGTGTATTACCAGGCCTGCAAAGGTGCAGGTCCTATTGCAAGTGGAGTAGACTGCTTCGGACTCGCCTTCACCGCGGCCCCCATGGCGATGGTCACAGGCATCCTCGTAACAAAATCCGCAAAATATCGGCCACAGATATGGGTTGGCTGGGCGCTCACAACGCTCGGCTGCGGTCTTCTGAGCTCGCTTGACGCGGAGAGCTCGCGCGCCAAAGGGATAGGATTCCAGCTCTTGGTCGGCTCGGGCCTCGGCATCACCTACATGGGGACGTATTTTCCCATCCTCGCGCCGCTTCTGGTTACTGAGAACGCACGCGCGATGGCGTTGCTTGTCTTTCTTCGGAACTTTGCCGTGGTGCGTCTTCGCTTCGTGTGACCCGACATCGTTGCTGGCTACTAACGTATAACTCTATCGGACAGGTCTGGGGGATCACGATCGGCGGCACCGTCCTCCAGAACGGGCTGCAGAAGAATCTTCCGGCAGAATTTACCGGGCAGTTGACCGAGAGCACGCAGATCGCCTACGCGGTCATTCCGCAGATCTCGGACCTCCCACAACCTCTGAAGGATGAGGTCAGGCGCGCATTTGCTGCTAGCGTGCGGGTGATCTGGCAGCTTCTGACGGGTGTCAGTGGGATGGGATTCCTCGTCAGCCTCGTCATGAAAGGACTTCCTCTCCACACGTCTACGGACGAGGAATGGAGTATGCAGGACGGAAAAGATGAAAAGACGAAGCAAACGAAGGACTTTGATGTTTATTCTGCAGTAGATAACGTGTAGTCATGTCATTAGCTAAATCCAGGATTTTTAGGCATACTGAGCAGCTTCGCGAAGGTTCTGCAGGATACGGATTCGCCTCTTTCAAGTACGCCTTGGTATCGACAAGGCGTCGGCGAATGCGCGGCCGGCTTGTCGCAGCCCGCTGGACCAGCTCAAGGAAAACCTGAACGAAGGGAAGAAGATACAGTTCTGCTGTGGAAAGATCGAGGGTCTGCCGACGTGTTGCTGTGGTGGGTGGACGCATGAGATTGTGTGTCGTTCCGTGCACGTCTTCGGGTCGAGGAAGCTCAAGCATATACGCAATAGTCCGGGCATGAGCCGAAAGTTGGCTGGTAATTGTATGGTATGCGTCTTTGCGGATGCGAAGCTTCGTTATGAAAGCTGCGATGTCTTGATTATCCCATGTTGTACTTTTACTTCCTGTTCACGTTCATGACTATCAATCCAATCTATACCGGATTCATCTCGACACAGGTCATAAGACAGCGTGAAGAGCGCACCATAAGGCGCTAACCCATGTGAATGGCATAATCTTGAGATTCGAATAGTGCCAACATATGACTCTGTACTGTAATCGAGGCCCGTCACTTTGTTCTTGCCTTACAGATGAGACTGGCCAGATGGTTGTCGATGCTCTGCGCTGGGTTGGGTTGGGTCTTTGAGCTATGGGGTTAGGGTTAATTTGACGATGACGATCCAGGATGCGCGAGGGGCTGGGGGGACGAAATGGATGGCTAGATAGTCATTTGGGAACGTACGTAGTAATCACAGTCAGAAACAAGCTGAGTCAAAGAAAAAGGAAGTTGAAAAAATGACGGCATACATACCTTGAACTGCTTGTTCTCTGCATATCGGTCTGCAGACCAGTCGCTGTGCGTATGAGCTACAGATCTAAAAGGTTAGCAAAGGATGGAGAATGAGGGGGCGCGCACACGTCTTCTGCATCTCGAGGGCTTGCTGCCGCCGATCGCGATAGCTCCGATGGGCACAAGATCAGGAGTGGTTGAATAATACAATATTAGATTCCTTCTTATCCATAGACTATCTGTCCGAGCCGGCACATAAAGATATCTTGTCAGTAAAACACAAATAACAGTACAACTCACTCTCTCCAACCACAGTGCAACGGTCCAATCCATCATCGCCCACCCTGCAGCCACCTCTTCAGCTCCCCCACCAGCGCCTTCGCTGCCACCTCCAGCCTCTCATCCCTCCTTCTCTCCACCTCCGCCACCGTCCGCCTCGCACCCCCCGGGCCCGCCAACACCAGTCCCACCT